TCACAATAGCCAAAAGGTGGAATCAACGCAAGTGTCTATCAGTGGATGAATGGATCAACAAAATATGGTATATACATACAATGGAATTTAAGTCAGCTTTAGAATGGAAAGAAATTCCATCATAGGCTACGACATGGATGAACCTGGAGGACGTTCATATAGCTAAGTGAAATAAGCCAGTCACACAAAAAAGTACATACTTTATGATTCTGCTTATTTATAAAGAAGAAAGTAGAATGGTGGTGGACAGAGGCTGGGAAGAGGGTTATGGGGAATTGTTGTTTAAAGAGTATAGAAGCCCAGTTTTCAAGATAAAAAGAGCTTTGGAAATTGGCTGTCTAATCAGAATGTCCATAACAGTATTGAACTGTACACTTAAAAACGGTTAAGATGGTAAATTTTAAGCTATATGCATTTTACCACTCACACAAAATTATTAGCAAATCTATTCAAATGCTGAATTTTCACCAGGTTTTTACCCTCTTTCAAACAGTTTAAATCCAAGTAACACTCTCGATAGAACAGTTAAATATTTTCCAATGCCGCATTTCTCCTCTCTTCTAAACCTCAGTTTCTCCCACTACCTCGGCTCATGCTAAAAAATGTTCTCTAAAGTCAGTATGAAGATTTAGCAGGTGGCCAGTGGAAGCACATGAACAGGAAAAGGCGAGAAATGGGCAGGAGGATCTAGTATATCTGGAATTGGAAGCAGAAGTTTTCCTCATCTCAGAAGGACCAATGAGCTTGATGTGCAGGTGACAATTTCAGCACAGGCTTGGGTCACTCAGGACAGAAATGTACTGTGAGCCGACTGACTCAGGCGTTGACCCCTGCTGCTACGCTAGCTCACCCCCTCCTCAGTTTCTCTGGCCGAGTTGGGCTGGCATATGGCACCTGTGACCACCACCATGGCAAACCTGGCAAAGAGTTTACCATTCTACTTGCTAGTAGCTCTCAAGAAAATTTTAAGAAGGGATGCCCGGGTGGCTCAGTTGGTTAAGTGTCTGCCTTTGGCTCAGGTCGGGCTCCTTGCTCAGCAGGGAGCTGCTTCTCCCTCTCCTGCTGCTCCCCCTGCTTGTGCTCTCTCTCTCTCCCTCTCTCTCTCTGGTAAATAAATAAATAATCTTTAATATTTAAAAAAAAGAAAATTTTAAGAAAACACAAGAGGACTAACATAATCTCTTCCCCTCAAAGCAATAACTTCCCAGACTAGCAGATCTTATCCCTTCTCTCTCCAGTGCAAACATCATGTAGTTTGATGCCTTCATCCCGGCTTCACAGCTGAACATGAGGAGGTTGGAACAGAACTCCAAACCATCATTTCATATGCAGGGTTACTGTTTTAGAGCAGATGAGTACACCCTGTTAAGCTCCCTCTACTTTTCTCTTCATGACAGGTATGCAATTCCTTTGCTGGCAAATATTCACAGGAAGGTCTAACTGGATTATTTACAGTTCGAACTCATGATTGAAGTTGGGGAAAATCCACTGAAATATAGCTTCCAGTGACTATGGTCAAATATGGTAAAATAAAGAAAATGAAACTAGAGTGCACAGAACCATATTGTATAGGAAACACGTCAGGTATAGAATTTTATTCTCATTTCAGCAACTGAGAAGATGGTTGTTTGCCCATTTTACTGATGAGGAAACTGATGAGGTCAAACTAACTTGTATATAGCTTTTAGCAAGCAAGTGAGTCCAGGTCTCTGGGAGGCCAAAGCAGCTGGTGTCTTCACTGCCTTGAATGACTTTGGGCAAGTCACTTGTCTGAGTCCAGTGTCCTTGTTTATCAAATGCTGACAATAATTCCTATCTCACAGTGGTACTGCAATGAGTATGAGAGATAACTGAAGAATATGTGCCTAGAAGGGGGGCAGTGGACACTGTACAGCTTGGATAGTCTTTCCTCCCGTCCTTCTTCTTCCTCATCCCCCACTTCATCACCTCCTCCCCATTCAAAGTCATGGTAAATACAGGGAGGAACATGGTTCCCTCAGTGAGCCAGCGGAGTTGGAGAAGACACGTTGGGAGGAAGCGTGGAGGAAGATAGGGGCAGCTTCTCTTTAGAGAAGTGATGGCTTCTAAGAGGGAACAGACCTCAACATGAGCAGATAATGCTGAAACCATTTGAGGAAAGTTCTTTTGGAGCAGAAGATATTTACAAGATCTTAAATGATCTCCCCACAGATTATCAATTAATTATGAAAAAGAACTAAAAAGTAGTATTTACAATGGAGAAATCTGGTAGACCTCCTTAAAATCACACAGACCATGAGCAATAATGGGACCAACTAATATTTTGTGCCTCCTGGTAGATGCCCTGAGGACACAGCATCGTTTACTTCTTAGATACTATTCATGCACAAAGGCATTTCCTGAGCCAAATCATGGAAAAATCCAAATGAGGAACATTCTACAGAACAACTGACCCATGTTCTACAAAATGTCAGTGTCATAAAAGATGAAGAAGGACCAAGGGACTGTTCCAGATTAGAGGGTAGTGAAGACATGTCAACTCAATGCAAATACATGATCCTAGGGAGCTCAAGGGCATTACTGGGACAACTAAAGGAATTCTAGACTTCGTATTAGATAATAGTATGTATTGATGTTAGATCTCCTAAACGTGGCCAATGTATTGTGTAAGATAATGGTCCTGCTCTCAGGAGACACATATTTCTGTATTTAGGGGTGAAAAGTCATCACATCTGCAACTCACTGTGTATGTGTGTGTATGTAGAAAGGAGAAAAAGCAAATATAGCAAACCACTAACTGGTGAATTCAGGTGAAGGGTTTGCAATGTTCATTACACAATTCCAGCCCCTATTCTGTGGATTTGCAAAAAAACATATTAAGAAATAAATACAAACACCTCAGAGGAATAAAGAAGGTAGCTTTTTTTTAAAAATGAGCAGGTAACAGCTTGATGATCCCTCAAAAAGCTAATGATAGAATTACCATATGACTCAGCAATTTCACTGTTAAAAGAACATATATACCCAAGAGAAATGAAACCATTTGTCTATACAATTTGTACATGAATGTTCGTAGCAGCACTATTCACAATAGCCAAAAGGTAGAAACAACCCAAATATCCATCAGCAGACAAGTGGATAAACAAAGTGTGGTGTATCCATACAGTAGAACATTATTCAGCCATTAAAAAAAGGATGAAATTCTGACACATGCTACAACATGGATGAGCCTTGAGGACATTATGTTAAGTGACGTAAGCCAGTCACAAAAAGGCAAATGTAGTAGGATTCCACTTACATGAGGTACCTAGACCAGTCAAGTTCACTGAGACAGAGAGCAGAATGGTGGTTGCCCGGGTCGGGGCAGGGGAAATGGGGAATGGTTGCTTCACGGGTACACTGCTTCCTTTCTGGAACTAGATGGAGGTGGTTACACAACAACATGAGTACAGTAAATGTCACTGAATCGTTTCCTTTAAAATGACTGATTCTCTGTGACACAAATCTTACCTCAATAAAAAGGAAAAGGGCAGACAGGCAAAGGGGGAGTTGGATTCTACAACCTGGGCCACAGAGTGTGAATGAGAAGAGGCCGCCGCGTCCAGGAGTGCACACTCACACCCACGAATCTGCTGACTGGGATGGAAATGGTGTGCGTGACGGGCACTACTGACTGGTTCTGGAATATGCTAACCAAAATGAAGACCGTCAGCTTGTGTAATTATCATTTACCTGGATTCCATAACAAGTTCACAGACTTACAGTGCAGCGAACTCATTCTATGCTGGGTCAGTATCCGCCATATTTAAAAGATGCTTCAACTAAAGCAACAGCAACAGGAGAAAGGAGGCGATACTCTGATCCCAGAGGCCAACACGTTAGAGGAGAAACCTCTCCCTCACAGACCCCTGGATGGGCAAGTGGGCTGCCTACATGGTCGCAGCAGGCTGAGTCTCTAGCTTCTGCTCAGCTGGGACTGCACAGGATTAAAAGCTGCTACCCCTTCGTCTCTCTAGAAATCACAGTTGCTTTTCACTCACACAAAGCTGGCACAGAAAATGTGATCCACTGAGACTGCATGACCACACATGTTATCCTTAACAAGAGCAACGGCATTTTCAGTTAGAACCTCGAAGAGAACATGACTTTTTTTAAAAAGGCTCTATAAATTCTATCACAAAAGATAAAAGAAAATTCAAATTTGCTATACAAACTTTAGAAAAGACATGGGGGAAAAATTCCCCTGGAGAAGTCACTGCTCTAATTTCATGGTTACCTCTGGTCTGCCTGAGAAGGCAGGACGTAAGGAATAATTCATGAATGGCAGCATTTTGAGCACCTTTAGAAATTTTCTGGTGAGAAAGTGCAATAAATGTGATGCTTCTTATTATGCCCACTAGTAAGGACGAACCTCACCCTGAATATAATTTTCCCTGAGATGGAAACCAATTTCCTGCCCTTAAAATATGTGTCCAGAGAATCTGGTGATGAGAGAATCACGAACGAGTAGACAGAACAATCAGGATAAAAACCCACTGTCCTCTTCCTTATAAACGTTCATTCTAAAAGAGCTACTACAGGGGACAGGAGAAGTGAAATAGGTGAAGGGGAGGAAGAGGTACGAACATCCAGTTATAAAACAATTAAGTCACGGGGATGAAAAGCACAGCACGAAGATAGAGTTAATAATATCTTAACAATGTTGTATGGTGACAGATGGTGACTATACTTCTCATGGTGAGCAGAACAAAACATACAGAGCTGTTGAATCACTATGTTGTACACCTGAAACAAATATAACATTGTATGTCAAGTATAATTCAACTAAAAATTTAAGAGAGAGAGTTACAAGGAAGAGAGTCCAATCAAACCAATTTGCAGGCCAGTTCTAGTGCCAGGTGGGCAGAGCAAAACAAAAGAAATGATGTTTCTGACATGGTTTAATGTTTGGCTGAGAAAATGGATGGACACTGCTTGAGCCCTTATTTCTCTGGTCACCTCCTCCAGAGCCACACACTCACCCATCCAGACTTCCCCGAACTGCCCAGCACCAAGCCTTTTCACCAACTTGATGGAATCCCGTGGGATCTCCCAGGCATCTTTGTCCCATGGCTTTTGTGGTTTGGGGCTAATACAAGCCTTCTCCAACCTTCTGCACAAGCCATCTGACTGCTCTAATGTGAAAGAGAAAAAAAAAGGTTAAGAAATGTCCTACTTTGTAATTTACCAGTATCTATGAAGAAATTTCGACTACTAGTGGGATCATTGGTTGATGCAGCTCGACGCAGTCGACGCAGTCTACGAACCTAAAATGCTATGGGGGTATCTTTTGTCTAATTGTGACTTTGGAAATTCTTGCCTGAAGGACATTTTATCCATTAGTACTGTTTGCAAACCTACAATATGTATCCCCTCAGAGTGGGCTACAGAAGTAAACAGTACCAGCAGCTACCGACTATAACCGACTTCAATCACACAGAGAATGAACCTAAAGGCCGCCCATGGGTTTGGCTTCTCAGGGCTGAAAAGTGGCACTGGCGACTGAGGACCATTGACTTGCCTCTTCTAAATATTTTCTTGTTGTTATTTCTGTTTTCTTTTACCCAGACTATGGATTACTTTTACACACACACACACACACATATAAATATATATATATATATATATATATAAAGACACAGACCTGCAAATCTGCATTCTGATTCCAAATATTTAAAAATGTGTTGTAAAAATATGCACTACATGAAAAGAATATTCATTTTTCTCTTCGCAGTTTTGGAACATTAACTGTCAAACAGCATGGATGTGGTGGAAAGAACTGGGATAATTATTCACTAAGATCCGATCTGACTTTAAATGCATATGTAATTACAGATTAATTTAGAATCAATTACAGAATACGGATCCTCCAAATTCATCCAAAAGAAATATGAGGTAGAAGAATTTTAATATAAAGAAGTGTTTGACACCCTACATTTTGTAATAAATCTGTTTTGTCTTGTCCGACCTTCAGTTTTTACTTACTTTGGTAATGTTTAATCATGTCACTGATACAAGGAAAAGTGATTCGTGGAGAGATGTAATAACCCCCATTGTCCAGACTTCTAATTTTGTAGTGCTTAATAACATCACCATGCACAGGGTCATAATCTCTGACAGAAAGAGAGTAGCTTCCTGTGGGGGAAAAACACAAGTTTGTTATCAAACCATAAAACTTTCATGACCAGGATATATCTCTTTTTAAAAAAAGAATTCTAGACTAGTTTCTAAGAATGATTTCCTAAATAGTGATTTAGAAGGGGACTTAAACCACTTCCTACCTTTCAAGGTTTCGCTTTCTCTGATAAGAAAAGCTCCAGGACTGTTCCCTGGCGCCAGCAGCTGTCTTTCTGCATCTTTCCTGGTTATATCCTTGAAAAACCACCTGAGAAAACATTGTCACACTTCATGGATGTTATGCTCCAGGGAAGGAAAAAGGTAAGGAATGCATAAGAAAGCCAAGGCAGCAAGCAAAACCATCCAAGATGGCAACAGGTAAGGACTCACTCTTCCGTTTCCAAGGTGTTGACTTTGGCGACGTAGTTGCTGGGGATGAACCCTTCTCTCTTTGTTGAAAGGGATTTAGCTTTCCACCATTCTCCATGCCTGGAAGAGAAACGGACATCAAAAAGTGTCTGTGTCCAGGGGCGCCTGCCTCGCTCTGTTGGTACAGCATGGGACTCCTGACCTTGGGCCTGTGAGTTCGGGTCCCACGTTGTGTGTAGAGATTATGTTTAAAAAAATAAAATCTTTAAAAAAATAAGTATTTGTATCCAATGAGTCAAGAACTGCAATAACAATTGTCTGAAGGGGGGGTGAGGGAGGGTGGGAAGATCCCTGGAGCCCCAGAATCCAGCAGGAAAATTCGGCTCCTTTTGCTGAAATAAAACTATGTTTAGAGACTTAAGGCAAAGGAAAACAGCCTCATAACTGGATCACTGTGCTCGGCGCCACACACACAAGAGTTGGTGAAAATGGTTCCTCTCTTGCAGAAGCAACACATTTGTAATTTCCCCCAGAATCTCCAAGAAATGCTGTAGGATCCTTATATAGAAACGAGAGTCAAGGGAACAATGAACCATCACTCTCACGTTATAAACTCCTTTGTTAAAACATCTACTTTCCATAGAGAGGTGCTGTGGAGAGAAGAAACGGAAAACCATAAAGTAATCCCAAGCAGGTAGGCTCATTCCCCCTGTTCTTGCCCTCAGCATGGAGCCAAGGAGGAGGCTGGGGCCAAGGAAGGAGGCAGGAATGGAAGGGTCCCCAGGAGCCTCAACTATGATGTTCAAATCCCCACGCCCAGTCGGGCTCCTTGTTTGCAAGCCATGAAGGACAGCCACAAGGGACACGAAGCTGCTACCTGCTGTACGTCTATTCACGACATTCTCACATCAACCCTGGGACAGAGCCACTGTCACTCCCATTATAGGCCACTCCCATTTCCTAAGTGAAGAAACGAAGGCATAGAGCTGAAGGGACTTGTCAAGGTCACACAGCTATCAAGAGGCAGGGCCAGGATTAGGCCCGAGTTCACACTCACCCAGTAAGTGAGAACTGCTCTTAACCACTTAGCACCTTGTACTTACTAAGGGGTCTCCCTCCTCCAACCCTGGTAGGCCGGCCAGCATGACAACGTATGCAAGATCAGGGGCAAATACTTGGGAAATCCTTATTCTCAGTACCAAGCCCCTGTGGTCTGAGCCACGGGTCTGTGAGTCAGCATGGGGAGCTGGGGGTGGGGTGGGTCAAGGACACGACGATGTCTAAGTGTCTTCACAGAAGGACGACAACGGCTGAGTAGGGGCTTTTCCAAAATGACGGCTGCTTCTGCACAGTGCCCTTAAAAATCAAACCAAGTCGGGGCGCCTGGGTGGCTCAGTTGGTTAAGCGACTGCCTTCG